CCGAAGCCCCCCGGGGGACACCTCAGCAGGATGCCTACACAATATTTATTCTTTTTTTTTTCCCCCTTTAATGTTTGGAGCCACACTCAGAGTTGCTCAGGTTTTACTCCGGGTTCTGCCCTCAGGGTTCACTCATGGTGATGCTCGCTCAGGGGACCAGATGGGGATCCCGGGACCAAACCAGGTCAGCTGCATGCAAGGCAAACACCCTACCTGCTGTATTGTCACTCCAACTCTTTATTAATTTTTTTTATAACCTGAAAGGTAATTTTTTTCTTTTCTCTTTTTTTTTGGGAGGGGGGCATATGTGGCCATGTTCAGGGTTAACTCCTGGTTCTACACTCAGGGGTCACTCCTGGGGTACTAGATAATGAGCCCGGGTAGGCTGCATGCAAGGTGAGCCCCTACTCTGTATAATTGCTCAGGTCCCAAAAGTAGTCTTGAGAACAAGTAGGTGGGCTTGGTATGAAAGGAACTGTGTTCTTCTGAATCAACAGTCGGACCTCCTGGGTTGAGGCTCTTGTTTATACTGGGCACGCCCCAGCTCAGGACAGCAGGACGCAGAATAGCGGGGAGCAGGTCTGGATGGCAGGGTCAGGAGTCTAAGCCATAGAGCGTTGTGGGGGACCAAGTTGCACTCAGACCTTTCTGGGTTTTGGATAATGAGACCTTTCTTCTGAGTTTGCTCTGACTCTGTCTTCTGACAAACTTCCAGAGAAACACTGCAAGAGCAAAAAGAATTCCTGTAAGCCCTGGCCCCAGATTTCCCCAGTGTCTTCACAGCTGACCACATCTGCTGTCTCCCCTGCCCGGAAACGGCTGTTTCACCCCCATTTGGCAAGGAAACAAACCAGGGAGGAAACAGGCTTTTTTTTTAAAAAAATCTTTCTAACAACAGTAGAGCATACTTTGGGGTGCATATGCAGCCCAAACCTGTGTGCTGCTTGTGTCCGTGTGGTTGAGCACATGTGGTGCCTGAGCACATGTGTCACCTGCATCTCCTCTCTTGAGATGTGAACTTTCATGCTTTCCTGTCTAATGCTGGGATGTATGTAGGGGCTCTCTCTGCCCTTGGAGAAGCCCGGGTTCTCTCTTGAGTGCGCTATTCTCCACTCTCTCCCACTTTTCTCTCCCTCCTCCCTTCAAAAACCTCCAACTAAAATTTGTTTTACTTAAAAAAAAAATACTGGGGCTGGAGCAATAGCACAGCGGGTAGGGCATTTGCCTTGCATGCGGCCAACCCAGGTTCGAGTCCCAGCATCCCATATGGTCCCCCCGGGCACCGTCTGGAGTAATTCCTGAGTGCAGAGCCAGGAGTAAGTAACCCCTGTGCATGGCCAGGTGTGACCCAAAAACGAAAAAAAACCAAGGATACTCTGGGGGGCTGAAGGTGCAGGCTTTGCGTGCAGGAGCCTTGTGCTCATTCATTCTCCAGCACCACTCGTTCTCCTGAGTGCTGTGGGCAGCAACTGCTGGGCACCTGAGGATTCACGGAACGCCTGGGCTCCACAACTCAGAGCCACCTCCCCAGCTCTAAGGAGCACTCTTTATAGACACTTTAATACTAGTGTCAGATCATTCTAAAGCACTCATATGTATGGTTGCATATAAGGACACAGATTTGAATGTCATTATATATATTTGCATACATCATTGAAAACCCACACCTCTAGGAGGTGGGGTCCATCATCAAACCCACTTTGCAAATGTGGAAACTGAGGCCTGGAGGTGAAGTGCCAGGTGAGGGATAAGTGAGGGAATCGGTATGCAAATGTGGAGAGCCAGGAAAACATAAGGACGATTTAAAGGCACAGTGATAGTTCTACTGTCATCTGCAGACAAGATTGGGTTCAAGGGGCTGGAGCGATAGCACAGTGGGTAGGGCGTTTGCCTTGCACGTGGCCGACCGAGGTTCGATTCCCAGCATCCCATATGGTCCCCCGAGCACCGCCAGGAGTAATTTCTGAGTGCAAAGCCAGGAGTAACCCCTGAGCATCGCTGGGCATGACCCAAAAAGCTAAACAAACAAACAAACAAAAAAAAAACAAGATTGGGTTCAAATCTTGAGACACCAAGACAGGGTCAAAGGGCATTTATTTGTAGGGGCGGGACGTTTATTCCAAACTTCTCGAGTTCCAATATCAGCTGTGTGGATGCATGAGAGAGAGTGAGTGAGTGTGTGTGTGTGTGTGTGTGTGTGCGCACGCGCGCGCGCAAGGGAAGGGGAGTGATCACAGGTGCTCAAGTCTGTGCACGGGTTCGAGTGAGTGCCCAAGGTAGGAGTGACTGAGGGGTAGTGCTGAGTGAGCGTGGCTGCGGATGAGAGGCAGGCAGGGATGTGAAGGCAGGGTGGATGGGTGTGGCCTTGTGGAATTCTCTGTGGAGTCTGAGTTCCCTTGGGACCTGTCTGCCTGGTTCCATGCTCTCTGTGGACCCTTTCTGATACTCCTCTTGCTGCTCCCATCAGTGCTCTTCACTGCTCATCACTGACCCTTGTTGGTGCTCATCTCACAGTGCTCTCCCATTCTACCGCTGGGATCTATCTCCTTGTCACTGCCCTCACCAGACGCCTCCTTCACCCTCACAGGAAAAGTGGGGCTAAGACCGTCCTTCCCTTTCTCTCCAGGCCCCCGGCTAAGACCTGGACAGCTCCCGAATAAATGTGATTTTCCCATAACCCTTGCCCCAACTCCTGTCCAGCTGCTTGTCCAGGCTGTCCCCTGCCTGAGTACCTTTCTGCCATTCCCCAGGAAACTCAGTGCACTGTGGTCACCTACCTGGGTGGACGGTGGGCAGCAGCCCTTGTCTGTGTCGTTGTTCACCTCACTTCTGCCTCAGCCCAGGCACTCAGGAGGTCCAGACAGGGTGAGCAATTGAAGAAGAGTGAAAGAGAAGGGGAGCACTGTCTCCCCCACCCCCAGGAAGCACCTCTTTTCACGTTCCACTCCACTGGCCAGTCCTAGGCTCCCTCCAGTGTTACTGAACCCCACTTTGGGTACCTGCTCCTTGAAGGTCGGTATTCAAGAGACGGGCTTGACGTGAGAACAGCGTGTGTCCAGGGCTAGGAACCTGAGAAGATGGGGCGCTCTTGTTCCCCCAAATCCTTCCCACTCTTAGGTTGGTGCAGGGGTTCATACGTGGCAGGTGGGGAAACCAGGGGAATGAAATTGAGGGTGAGGGCAAGAGCAGGAGAAAACTCTGTCTCGGGGTCGTCAGGGCTGGGGTCAGAATGGGGCTGCTCCCTGCTGCATACCAGGAAATTCTGCTTCTTGGGGGTCTGCACGATTACCTTGAAGAGTCCCCCAGGAGCCTGTTTTTGACCTTTCTCCGCGGAAGAGAGGTATCCCTGGGCATGACAAGCCCCAGGAGTGATCTCAGAGAACCTGTTGTTTTCTCTCTGCCAGCATCAAACTCACAGGGCGTGAGAACATTTCCTAGGATTGGGGGACAGGGCCAAGACCGGGGTGGGGGGAGAGAGGTTCTAAGACGTGTGGAAGTGAGAAGCAGGAAGGAGTCTAACGCCACCCACTGATACCAGGAGTCCTTCAGGACAACGGAGGGTGAATCCCTGGGTGGGCACCTGTCCGCATCTCCTCACCTCTCTCCTCCCCAGGGCTCTCCAGGTGAGGCCACCAACCTGTCACTTGGAGTTTCACCCCAGCACCTCTTCACTGGCTGTTCTTTTTAAAAAAAAAAACAAAAAACCTTTATTTTATTTTTGCTTTTCGGGTCACATCCAGTGATGCTCAGGGATGACTCCTGGCTCTGCATTTAGGCTCACTCCTGGCAGTGCTTTGGGGGACCCTATGGGATAATGGGAATCAGACGTGGGCCAGCCCCATGCAAGGCACGTGCAATGCCCGCTGTGCTGCCTCTCCTGCTGTTTTCTCCCTAGCCTGCCCATCAATCGCCTGGAGGCTCTCAGCCCCAGGTGTCCTCAGTGCACTCTCTCTCACCCTGTTTGACTCTCCTTTTTGGAATCTGAAAGACTTTATTCTCCAGTGTGTTCCCTGCCACTGAGTACCGTCCGAGCTCTCTAAATGTCCAGAGGTTAGTGGACTTTGGGGCCTGGGTTTCTCCATCTGTGCACGGGCTCCCTGTGATCCAGCTCCCTCCGAGGGTAGTTGCAAGGATTGAACGGTCCACGCAGTGCCTTGAGCACAGGCTGCTACTAGCTCTCTCTCATCGGCAGCTGGTGTGCTTCCTGCACACTTCTCTCTCGCTCACTCTCGCTCTCCCTCACTTTCTCTCTCCCCCTCCCGCTCCCTCCCTCCTTCTCCCTCTCGCTCCCTCCCTCCCTCCCTTTCTGCAGGAAGCGCACCAGCTGTTGATGAGAGAGAGCTAGTGTGCAGTAGGGGCTCCGGAGACAAGGAGCAAACTAGCGTGGGCATTTTACAGAGCAGGACTGTGGGGCAGGGTCTCAGGGTCAGGGCAGCCCAATCCCGCAAAGCCACCGACCGGCTCTGGAGAGGGAGAGGGAGAGGTCTGGAAAGGCGGGGCTAGGCCCCAACGTGCAATCCTGACCCGGGAATTTATTCTGCAAGCCGGAGAAAAACTGGGTCGAGCTGGGTCTGTGCAGGGGCATGCCCAGGTAGAGGCAGAGGGGGGTTGCGGTGGGGGACGGGGAGATAGAGGTTCTAGGCTGGGAACGGCGCGGCAGCTGCGCTCGGCGGAGGCTCGGGGACCGGCGAGCCGGGGATGGGCGGGGCTAACCGGCGAGGGGGCGGGGCGAGGGGCAGAGCGTAGCAACCGGCGAAGGGGCGTGGCGTAGAGTAAGGGAGAGGCGGGGCTATCTGCTGAAGGGGCGGGGCTAGCGGCAGGCGTGGCCTCCGGCGGAGGGGTAGGGCGGGAGCTATCAGGTGAAGGGGCGGGGCTGGGGCAGGGAGTAGCCGCCGATGGGGGCGGGGCTATCCGGGGAGGGGCGGGGCCAGAGGCGGGCGTTGCCGCGGCGGAGGGCGGGGCGATTCGGGGCGGGGCGGGGCCGGGGCGGGGCGCAGGAAGCCGGGGCGGGCGCGCGGCGGCCCGGGGAAAGCCCCCGGGAGCGCAGTGGGCGCCGCAGCCCGGCGCGCCCCGCACTTCCCCTCGGGCGCTGCGCGGCGGATGGAGCGGCGCGCGCAGGTAGGACCCGGGCCGGCTGGGGTCGCGGCGGGGAGGGGTGCGTCGAGAAGTGCCCGTCCCCGGGCGGGGCTCGGACGGCGGGGACCCCGACGATGCGCGTGCCGGCGAGGCTGGCCGGGGGCGAGAGGCGTGCGCTCGGGCCCCCTGCGCCCCCGGACGGCCCGCGGCGAGGGAGAGACGGGGATCGTAATTCGGGGCGGAGACGGGAGAGAGGATGGGATCGGAGGCTCAGGTGGCGGACTCGGAAACCTTTGGTCCCCTCATTTGAATACGAGGGACCGAATAGCAGCGACCGTCCGCTGGGACTTTGTTCCCGTCCGGCCCCGGTGGCGCCCGGCGCAGCCCAGTGGCCAGGCGCCCTCCCGCTTCAGAGGGGGGACTGACCCCCGCCTCTCCACCCTGCACCTCGCAGCGGCGTTTCCATAGAAAAAAATAAACCATCCTGGATTTGATGACGTGCAGACCCCCAGGCCGCTTCCCCAAAATTCAGAGCCAGGAAACCCAGGAATACGAGTTCTTCCTTTAAAAAAAGTCCGAATTTCTTATCCTGAGACCGAGACTTGGGGGGTGGCGTGGGGGGGTCAGTGAAAACCCTCGCGCGTGGCCAGCTTGGCGGATGCGCCCGGGCCAGCACGTAGCCGCGGGGTTAGGAGCCAGTCTGCCGCCCCTCCCCGGGGCTGGGCGCTCCCCCGACCCCCCACCCCCCCCGGAGCCGGGGCCTTTGCTGGGGGCAAGTGCCCAAGCCCCTCGGAGAGACCTGGGCTGAGGGCTGCTCCTGGCCACTGGAGTCAGGGGAGTCGAGCCCTGCGAGCGCCCCTCCAGCCCGGGAGCGCCCCCAGACTCTTGGGTGAGGTGCACGGGGGGAAGTGACCGGCCCGCCGTCCCCGGGCTCCTGCTGGACAGCGCAGCGGCCGGGGACGCTTGGGTGTCTGTCCTCCTTTCCCGGAGCGAGCACTCGGGCAGGGTGGCCGGACAGGTCCCGTGGAGGCGAGCGGCAGGTGGAGATGGGCGGGAAGGGCCGGCGGAGTAGCGGGAACCACCTGGACCCAGGTGCGGGGGGCGGGGGCCGCGGCGGGACGGGCCGGCGGCGGCCGGGAAGGTGGGCCCGGTGCCCACGGGCAGGCCTGGGACGGCAGCCCCGGGCGGGAGCTAGGGAGCGCGACCGGCCCCGCCCTGGACCTCTGGGGCCGGCTGGAGGGAGGCCAGGGGAAGGCGAGCCCTCCGAGTCGCCCTGGTAACGACACGCGCTTCCCGGCAGGTCTGGGAGGAGGACAGGGTTGCCAAATCCTGGGTCGTGACTCAGTGACTGGTTTTTGTGCCTCCAAGAGCCCAGTCCCCGGGGAGGCAGAAACCCCCGCAGGCTCCTGGACGTTGGAGACTTCAGGAAGCAGCCCATTTCCCGAGGCTCGGGTTCAGGGAAGGAGGGAGACCCTTTCCAGGACCCCTCCTCTCCCTGAGACCCCCGTCCCCAATCTACATTTGGAGGTTTGACTCCCAGGGACCCGGGCTAGGGGCAGTCAGACGCTCCCTCCCATCTATGCTACACGTTCTCACGTCCTTTTGGAAAAATTTGCGGGTTTTTTCGCTTTTTTTTTTCTTAAATTTTTATTAGTGAAACACCATGAGGTACAGTTGTAGACTTACAAATTTTTGTGGTTGGGTTTCGGTTAGACAGTGATCAAATACCCATCCCTCCACCAGTGCCCATTCTCCGCCACCACTGATCCCAGTATCCCTCCCCACCCACCACCCCCCTATCCCACCCTACCTCTGTGACAGGGCACTCCCTTTTGTTATCGCTCTCCTTTTGAGTGCTGTGGTTTGCAAAGGGCGATGACATAACCCTATTGATAACTCAACAGAGTCTGTTCTCGGAAAAACTTCCCGTCTCTGTGACCTCTTAAGACAGGAGCACCTGGGGCTGGAGCAATATAGCACAGCGGGTTGGGCGTTTGCCTTGCACGCAGCAGTCGACCTGGGTTCAATTCCCAGCATCCCATCTGGTCCCCCAAACACTGCCAGGAGTAATTCCTGAGTGCATGAGCCAGGAGTAACCCCTGTGCATGGCCAGGTGTGGCCCTCCCAAAAAAAGAACTGCCCAGGGGTCAGGGCTGACTGTGTGCCACGCCGTGGGCTGACTGTTCGGTTTTCGTGGGGATGCCATGAAGTGACAGAGGCCTCGAAGGTAGAGCTTAGAGTAAGCGTTCAGTAGAGTGAGGTAAGAGAGTGAACCCCACGGCGGGGGTTTCCACCCCACTTCCCCTCTCCTGCCGAGTTCATGGGGGGTGACCAGGAGGGATCTTTCCCAGTTTCCCCTGGCAGGCACGGTGGGTGGACGATGGGCCCAGTCTGGCCTTGACTACCCTTGACGAGGGTAGAGGCAAGGCCCGCTGTTGGCCTGGAGTGTGTTTGCCTGAGCCAAGGGAGGGCGGGCGAGCCTGCAGGAGCCAGCATCAGAAGGGCCGTGACCACCCGGGTCACCCTGGCATCAGAAAGGTCGTCACCCCATTGCTCTGCGGGCTCCTGGCCGGTCATTCTGCTTCTTTGGACCTCAGGCAGCGGGAAGGACTCGGGCTTGGGCCGAGGCTGCTTCTGACCGGCTGCTTCCTGTATGTGTGGCTGGATGAAGTGCCTCGCGCTCTCCGAACCCTAGTCTGTCTGAGAATAGGGGTACCCATGCGGGGCACAGAGGAGGCTCTTCCCAGGACTGCCTCACTTGGGCACTTTGCCCTGGCTCCCTGACTACTTCTCCCCCCATCGCACCCGGGACTTGGTTTTCTCGGTCTTTTCTTCTTCGTGTACTCACCAGGCCCCCCATGGGGCCTCACCAGAGACCTCGCTGCCCCAGGGTTCATGTCAAAAAAGAGAGAAGCCGCCTCTCCCCTTTTCGTGATTTCAGAATCGCAGCTGAGTTTCTCAGCTGGAGTCAGGCCTGGGGCGGGGTTGGGGGGACGGGGAGGCAGAAAAGAGGGGGGCTCTTTGGCGTGTGGGTGTCCCAGTTGAATATCCCTGCAGAGACAGTCCTGTGGTTGGTCTTGGGGCCTGTTCTAGACCCACAAGATTTCTTCTGCGCGGTGACCTTTCTAGAATGAATGAATGAGTGAGTGAATGAATGAATGAATCAGAATGACTCAGGCTTAGGGTGCTGGAGCGCCCCGGCCCTGCACCTTCTTTATCCTTGTCCTGTGCTCCTGCCCTTGGCCTTCTGGAGAGAGTGGGGGCTGGAGGTGACAGGGCTGACAGAGGGCGGGACATTTAGAAAGACTGAATAGGCCAGGGGACGGGACCTACACGGACTGTGACGAAGGTCTCGTCCTCCTCCCACCTCTCACTTCCGGACCTTCCACCTAGCCCCCAGCCCCCCGGATGTTCTCATCTGTCTCAATAAACCCGCTTTTGCCTTTCCAAGAAGTGCTGATTCCTCTGAGGTTACAGGTTTGGCTCCAACTGACTCATTCTCACTCTCAGGGGTGGAGGCCCCCTCCCGATGCCGCCTTACCCCTCAGGAGGGCTGACGCCAGCCAGGGACCCCACGATGGCAGGCCTGGCGCTCCCAGTCGCTCCCCAGTCTCCCCCGGGAGAAAGGGAGGGTGTGGGCTCCAGGGTGAGGAATTTCACCTTCCGGGTTTGGTGAAACATGATTCCTGAAGGAGAGGGTGGTTCTGAGCTGTGGGTGGGAGGGGGGTGAACAGGGGTGCCTGGGTGCCTGCTCCAGGCTCAGTGCTCCTGTTGACTCCATTAAAATAGCAGCGGCAGGCCCAGGATGTGACTCGGCAGTCTAGTACTCACCTGGCACAGGCCTTGGGTGCAGTCCCCTGCAGCACCCACACAAGACACTAAAATGTCTCACAGGTCCAGAGCGATAGCACAGTAGGGAGGGTGTTTGCCTCGCACACGGACGACCTGGGTTCAATCCCCGGCCTCCCATAGGGTCCCCTGAGCACCGCCAGGAGAGATTCCTGAGTGCAGAGCCAGGAGTAAACCCTGAGCATCGCCTCTGGGTGTGCCCCAAAAGCCAGAAATAATAAACAAATAAACAAATAAATAAATAAATAAAGCTTTTTCAAAAAGGTCATTCCCTGGGGATATGGCAGTGAGCGGCACACACATCAGCCTGTGACCCTTCCCCTTGGGCTTGCCCTGATGAGGAAGGTCATTGTGAGGAGGCGACTCCCCCCACCTCCCCCCACCACCACACACACCTCCGTGGAGAATGTGTTGAGGTTAGCATTTTAAGGGCATGAGGAGGTAGGCCAGACTTGGAGTCAGGAAATCTGTGACTCTCTGGGTGGCCGCCATCACCTGTGCAAAGGCCCTGGGGTGGGGCAGGCTTGGCGTCAGGGAAGCCAGTGTGGTTGGATGGCACTGAGCGAGCTGGGGAGGAGCCAGGGCAGAGGTCAGGGGCTCAAACAGAAGGCAGACACCAGGGCTATCTCCCCCAGCTAGCACGCGCGCCCTGCCAGGTAAAGAGCTGCTCTGGCACCTTCCAGATAAGGCAGCAAGCCTGGGATGGTTTCGTGACTTGCCCGGGGTCCCAGGGCTGCAGGTGGGCAGAGCAGAGCTGGGGGGTCCCATCTTCATCCCCTGGCACTGTGCCCAGAGGCTAAATAAAGGCTTGCCTTGGGCTTAGCTTCCTACTGGAGTGCTCTCCTAGCTTACATCCACAGGACAGGGAGCACCTTCCAGGGAGCACAGAGGGGGTAAGGACTCCACCCGGGACACAGTCACACCCCATCCCCCCACACCCCCCCCCCCCCACCTGACCGGGGCAGGAAACAGCGCAGGGTAGGGACAGTACCTGATGCAAACCCAATTCTCAGTCCTCTGGGCCTGGGAGCAGAATGCAAAGCTCTCGGGGTGCCCAGTCACGGAGAGCATTCTGGAGGCTGTGGAGGTCTGCGATTCCCGGGGGACCCGGAAAGTGTCCCTTCTGCTCTCCCCCCCCCCCCCCCCCCCCAGCACGGAGGGAGCTTCTCCCGGAGAGGACACTGCAGATGTCT